CAGGGGGATGGGGACAGGGGGATGGGGACATGGGGATGGGGACAGGGAGCGGGACAGGGACATCGGGACAGGGACATCGGGACAGGGACATGGGGATGGGGACAGGGGGATGGGGACACGGAGAGTGGGGACAGAGAGCGGGACAAGGGGATAGGGATGGGGATGGGGACAGAGACTGGGGACAGGGGGAGTGGGGACAGCAGGACCGGGGGGACAGCGGGGCCAGGGGGACACACTGCACTATTTTTCTTAGAAAAAGCGTGGTCTGAACAGTTCCAAGCTAGAGGGGAAAAGCTGAGTGTAGAGAGTTAAGGGGTAATTAAGGCAAAGCAGGACAAGCGGAGCTCTCTGAGCTCAAGCGAGCAGGCAGAGCCATGGGAAGGATCCCCTCATAGCTGGGTTTGGCTGGGCACGGACACTGCCCACCCCCTCTTTAATCAGAGCGGGTAGCGAAAGGATGTCCCTGCCTGTCCATGATTCCTCGCTAAAGCCGCCTGCAACTGCTGTGCTCCATGGCTGGGTTTTCATTTCATCTCTCTGCTCTGCCCCTTTTCTTTCTCTCCAGAGTGTTTTGGACTGTCTTAGAAGCCCGCAGCTGTGAGCTGCCAGAGCGGACACCAGGGATCGTTCTGATTTCTGCACTGTGCCTCAAACCAGGCGCGATGGGTCCAGCTCCAGTGGAGGAAGGAGCTCTGGCTGAGTCAGGCTCAGGTACTCCCTTGCCTCTGCTAGCACTCCTTCCTTTCCTCCTGTAGATGCTGAGTGCAGCGACCATCAATCACTGAGTGATGTCCTGTAGGTGACTGATAAAGCTGTCCCACTAAAATGACCATGTAAGTGCAGTAGGTTTTGAATCGAGACAGTACCCATTCATTTGCTTTTTGCAGCAAGAGAGGTCCATATGGCCCTTAACAACCCTGAAAATTCCATTATTAGAGCAAACTGCTCAAATTTATCTCTTTCGTAGAAACCAGTGTGTTCTCAGGAAGTTTTATTTCTTTGAGCACTGAGTCTCTCATCCCTTTTATGTGCAAATTCAGGTGTTGGGAAGAGGCTGGTTTGACAGCCCTGTAGCCTGTAAGTCAGTTGTCAATCACCAACACAGTGACAGCAACACAATTCCCCACCTGTTCACCCTCAGAGAGATAAGGAGCTGATTCTAGAGCCTCTGCCACTTTGATCTTCATTTATTTTCACAAAAAAAACATGGAAGAGTTCTCCTTTCCCTCAGTGATGTACTAAACAGGCTTTCCAGTCCGGGAAAAAAAAAAAAATCAAAGTGCAGAGATGAGATATGAACCTTGGGAAGCAAAGAATTTCTGAAGAGGTATGTGGAGATGTGAAAGGGAAAAGAGAAGCAGAATATTTGATCAGCAAAGTTCTCTGAAGCTGCCTAGTTATAGCAGGATTCTTAAGATGTGGGGATGTTTAGCTTTTATCTTGAGACCCATGAACTCTTCAGGTTATATGGGAATTGAGCTCAGCACACCCCTTGGAGACACCTTTTCAAAAAGCTGTGAGCTGGTAGCCCTTGGAGTTGTGTGAAGATAACTGTGTGGAATAAGCTCCTGTTTGTCTAACTGCTCTGAAGTGAGTTCAGCCTCTTCAAAGGCTCAGAGCACATCTGTGTCACTGTCCCACCTTGTTTGCTGAGATTGTCTCAGTGACTCCTTGCTCCAAGGTGACTCTCTGTGTGCAGGTGGACAGCTGTGCAGGCCCAGAAGTAGAGTCACAATAAATACTGTGGTAGGAAAAAAAGGAATATTCCTGTTTGTCATGACCAGAGGAGGAGTTCCCACACCTCAGAGCAGTTGTGCTCAGTTTCATTGTCTTGGTTTGCAAAGACAGGTGTCTGCTAAGGAAAGCAGGAACTTCCCTTGAAATGGAAACATGTAAACCACCCTCACCCCCTCCGAATTATTATAATCTTGAAATCAAAGGGCTCACAGGCAAAGATCTGGGAATAGGAATAACAGTTCTTTATTAGGAAAATTAAAAATGCAGTAGTACAAAAAAAACACTGGATCAGTATACAATCTACCACCCTGTTGGGCAGGGTGTTGGTAGCAGTCCCATTAAATGGTGGCTGCAGTAACCCTGGAGTGACAGATGTGCTTCTGGTGAAGCAATGATCCTGTAGAAGGGTGTAGTTTTCCTCTGAAGATCCAGTGGGGATGCAGATGGGTCCAGTCTTCCTCTGGGAATCCAGTGGGGAAAGGCTGACTGCGGTGTTCTGAGTCTCAGATTATATCCAGGTAGGAATGCTTGGCTCCTCCCCCTGGGTGGAGCATCCCACAGTGGGATGATGGAATTTTATCAGTCCTGCAGTGAGACTCAATGGCTCATTCACAGAAAATATCCCCCTGGAGGGAGGATGGGTCATGGAAGAGATAAAGAACACTGCCACATCTGGCTTTAACAGCTGGTAATAGAATACATACTTGTGGTTACATCTTGCATTACAACCCAAGACATTAATGAAACCCAGTTAATTTCCACTGACTCTCCTTTATTTTCTGCTGGAAGATGAAAGAACTTGGTCTTGGTATGCAAGTGAGGGGCAACATGGATTTAGTCCAAAATTTGGTCAATCTTACATTAATTTGGAAGGGGTGGATGCAGAAGAAGATTTGGGTTTCAACACTGTGGTTTGGGGAGTTAGTGCTGAAGTCCAAGAACTGCCACAGACAGCTTGAGTGTCAGCAAGCATTGGAATGAAGCTGATAAGAGAGCTGGAGAGGTTGTAGAAGCAATCATTACAGACAGCTGAATATGCCAAGCAAACATCTGACAGCTGGGAGATGATTTGATAGCGCTGAACGGGAGAATCGGGAATTGAGATGAGAGATGCTGTCAGTAAATGTCTGTGATCTTAAAGCTGGGGGTGTCCCATGGGGGCTAAAATCAGGACAGTGAACCAAACATGTGCCACCTACTTGCTGGACAGCTGCTCTGCCAAGGTGAAGTTTGTAGGGCTGAATACTAGAGGTTGTTTTTTATTTCCAGTGGTGTACCTGGCATTGCTCCTTGTTCATCCCTGCTTCTCCACTTCTAGGCAGGACATGCACCAGTGGGCTGTTTTTCCTTACTCGTACATCTAACTACCTGCTTACTCAGAGATATTTGGCAACTTCTTAATTTGACTCATGAGCTGCATGAAATAAATATTTTACATACTGTCACTCTAGTTTCCTTCTAGAACTTGAAATATGACTAGTGGTGGTGCTACCATATTTGCCTGCTAATAAATAGTTCAAGAGGAAATATTTCATTGCATACCACAGGCAATGGCTGTCATTTGCAGGATTTCTTTACAATCAGCTGCTTTTCCATCAATGTCAGTTCCACTCACATAGCAAATTGTAATCTGGTGTCAGAAACAGCATCTAAGGAGGGAACTCCCCAGGGTTGATGGCTCTATCTACAATTCTGGTTGTGTTTCAGCAACACCCAGAGACCCAGGTCCTAAGAACAGCTTTATAGTATATACAATATAGCCCTCCTTGAATATTTGGCTTCTCATACTTTTACTGTATTTTGAATCAAATCCTGTTTCCCACTGACTGCTCTGATTAACAATGTAAGAGATGTACTTCATCAGATAGACATTGTCTTTAAATGTCACAAACAATAGGTAACGGGCAGAAATAAACATCTTATGAACACCCTTGCCCCTGAGAACTTAAAAATACTACTTAGCAGGTAATGGAGTTTTTTGACTAGCTTAATTAAGTTTAGAACAGAAGCAAAATCCTTGATTTGTATTATTTTTTTTTTACTGCCCTTAATATATTTTTCTATTATAAAAAGTTAAACAACAAGAACAAAACTTAGAAATTTTGGGGAAATGTTTCTACAAGCAAGGATCTTCCTTTGCAATTTTCTAGGTGCCATAGGACCTTACCTTGTAAAAGTTTTACTGGTTTAATTTTACACAGTATGAATGCTCTAGCTTGATTTCAACAGCATTCTTACTGGATTATGAATTAGGCACAAGCAAAATTCTGTCAGATGAGCCCAGCTAGAGAGCAACTGCATTAAATTCAAACACATGAATGCCTTGTTTCTTCTTACAACACACATACTACACAAAGACCAAAATACCTGTTCTCCCAAAGCTACTGCTAAAATAAACAATCCTCTGTCACGGTTCACATGAAGCCGATTCCACTGTGAATTCACAGGATCAAAGGAATATTCCCTGGTGTTTCCAGGACAGCACCAGGGGTGCAGATGCCAGCTTGTTCCCCGGGCATTCCGAGGTCTTCTTACTCCACCGAGTGGCCAGTCACTCCACTGCACGTCTGTCACCAACCCAAGGCATCCACCTGCTGAGGTTGGCAAGAATATGTAAGGCTGAGGTGAATGAACAAGACTTCTCCCTCTTCCACATCCCACAGTCCTCCAGATGCCCTGGGGCCAAGCCACTCATCTTGGTACATTCCAGAAACCTCCCTGCTGCCTCAGGGAAAGGACAGAACCTGCCCAGTT